ATTATTCACTGTTATAAAGGCGGACTTAAGCTATGCTCTCGACAAGATGTTCTCCTTTTTCATTTATGGCATTTGAGCGTTACGTTTATCCAATTTCGCCTAGTATTTAACCTTTTTTTGACCCGAATAAAGATATTTCCAACCCTGCCTAAGTACATGTTCACTTTTTCCTTATTTTTCTACTGAAAGTAAGTCTACGAATTCTTTATGAATGTTTTCATTCCACTAATTCGAATAAATTTGTTTCGCAACAGAAAATTCGATTCTATATCGATCTCGTTTCTGTTCCAAATATGCTCCACCATATTTGCCTATTACCTTTTTTTCCCTCACATTTACTACTCCACTTTCTCCGAAATCACTTAAGTTTCGTGTTGGGTCACTTTTTCTCAGTATCGGACTAGTCTGTGTAATTACGATTGCATTCGGCTGTTCTATATGTGAATTACATTTGCCTCGAAATAGGTCTTGTTTTAGTTTCCGCTTTATTTTGCAGACAAGTTCATTGATAAAAATTGTTAATACCAAATATGCTTCTCGGCAAGCTTAGCTTTTTAAAGGGCTATCATTCTCCACAGTAAACGACTCGCTTTTCGCATGCAGAGTGGGGAACTGACTTTTTTTGTAGGATAGACATCCTGGCATTCATTCTAAATTCTCATTAACCTTGGTCAAAACGCTTTACCCAATAAATTCATGTCGAGTAGCCTAGCAGTACTACTCTACCTGTTGATGCCTTGTTTGTTGTTCAGGATATCTTTTGAACAATACACTCAAATCGCTAACCGCTGTCCAGTTCTGTGGTGTACATTTAGCCCAAACCGGATTCTGCTCTATGTTGGGGATACAATAAAAACAGCTTTGTGAGACAAAGGATGTTTCCGATTAAGGATTAGTCGAGGAGTAGACTTTGGTAGTGCAAGAAGAACCTCTGCGGTAGATGAGATTAATAACTCACAATTGTGAAAAGAGAAGAATTTAATAAGAAAATATACCAAAAAGGGCACATAGCAAATGCTGTAGAAGAACAGCGTTTTTCCAACTGTTCTTCCCTCATCAGAGCTTCACGCTTTACGCTTTGACTTCTGCAAATTTTTGTGAATGGAGGCGGGCTCTATGATATGAGCGGTGTTCATAAATGGACACCACATCCACCTATCTCATTCTGCAATGCTCGATTAGATGTGAATTTTTTTTGTAGCTTATCCCACTTTCCGGAACCATGCCCATTTGCGCATTTGATGTCCATCGTTCAAGTTATCTTAAATCAGCTCTAACACTGCATAAATTCTTTAAACATTGAAAATTTTTAAATGTTGTAATCTCAGTTCCTTAGCGTTCTTTACAAAAAATTCGAAACTGTGTTTTCTGTAGTCAATTGCGAAAATTTGTTTTATTCAAGCCAGGTAATACGTACTTATATCTATTAAAAAATTACAAGAATGTAATTCCTCGCGACAAACTTGGGGCTGGATATACTTTCCTTTCCTAAAGGTCTCAACGTGCTTGCTTATTCATGATTAATCTTATATTCAAAAGAACTCAGTTTTTGACTTGCTTTCCGGTTGAACAAATGATTATTCAAAATAAGAGATTAACAGTTCTAAAATCTTTGTGATGTTTCAGATATTTCAA